AAAGAGGGAACCTACCTCAACATAATAAAAGCCGTATATGACAAACCCACAGCAAGCATCATACTCAATGGTGAAAAACTGAAAGCATTTCCACTAAGATCTGGAACAATTCAAGGATGTCCACTCTCACCACTCTTATTCAACATAGTTTTGTAAGTCTTAGCCACGGCAATCAGAGAAGAAAAAGAAATAAAAGGAATACAAACTGGAAAATAAGTAAAACTGCCTCTGTTTGCTGATGACATGATACTATACATAGAAAATCCTAAAGATGCCACCAGAAAACTCCTAGAGCTAATCAGTGAATTTGGTAAGGTCGCAGGATACAAAATTAATGCACAGAAATCTCTGGCATTCTTATATACCAACAATGAAAAATCAGAGAAATTAAGGACACACTCCCATTTACCATTGCAAGAAAAAGAATAAAATACCTAGGGAATAAACCTGCCTAAGGAGGTGAAAGACTTGTACTCAGAAAACTATAAGACACTGATGAAAGAAATCAAAGATGACATAAACAGATGGAGAAATAGACCATGTTCTTGGATTGGAAGAATCAATATTGTGAAAATGACTATACTATCCAAGGCAATCTACAGATTCAGTGCAATCCCTATCAAACTACCAATGGCATTCTTCACAGAATTAGAACAAAAAATTTTACAATTCGTATGGAAATACAAAAGACCCTGAATAGCCAAAGCATTCTTGAGAAAGGAAATTGCAGGGGGAGGAATCAGGCTGCCCGACTTCAAACTATACCACAAAGCTACAGTAATCAAGGCAGTATGGTACTGGCACAAAAACAAATATAGATCAGTGGTACAAGATAGAATGCCCAGATAAACCTGTGCACATATGGGCACCTAATTTACGACAAAAGAGGCAAAAACATACAGTGGAGAAAAGATAGCCTCTTCGATAAGTGGTGCTGGGAAATCTGGACAGCTGCATGTAAAAGAATGAAATGAGAACACTCCCTAACACCATACACAAAATTAAACTCCAAATGGATTAAGGACTTAAATGTAAGACCAGGCACTATACAACTCTTAGAGGAAAACATAGGAAAAACACTCTTTGACATAAACCACAGCAAGATCTTTTTTGACCCACCTCCTAGAGTAACGGAAATAAAAACAAATAAACAAATGGGACTTAATTAAACTTATAAGCTTTTGCACAGCAAAGGAAACCATACACAAGACAAAAAAGAGAACCCTCAGAATGGGAGAAAATACTTGCAAATGAAACAACAGACAAAGGATTAATCTCAAAAATACACAAACAGCTCATGGAACACAATATCAAAAAAAACAATCCAGTTAAAGAATGGGCGGAAGACCTCAATAGACAGTTCACCAAGGAAGACATACAGATGACCAAGAGGCATATGAAAGATGCTCAGCATCACTAATTATTAGAGAAATGCAAATCAAAACTACAATGAGGTATCACCTCACACCGGCCAGAATGGCCATTATCAAAAAATCTAGAAACAATAAATGATGGAAAGGGTGTGGTGAAAAGGGAACCCTCTTGCACTGTTGGTGGGGATGTAAATTGATACAACCACTATGAAAAACAGTATGGAGTTTCCTTAAAAAACTAAAAGTAGAACTACCATATGACCCCGCAATCCCACTACTGGGCATATACCCTGAGAAAACCATAATTCAGAAGAAGATATGTACCACAGTGTTCATTGCAGCAGTGTTAACAATAGCCAGGACATGGAAGCAACATAAATGTCCATTGACAGATGAATGGATAAAGATGTTGTACATATATGCAGTGGAATATTACTCAGCCATAAAAAGTTACTGAGTCATTTGTAGTTAGGTGGATGGACCTAGAGTCTGTCATACAGAGTGAAGTAAGTCAGAAAGAGAAAAGAGATACCATATGCTAACAAATATATATGGAATCAAAAAAAAAAAAGGTAGTGATGAACCTAGTTGCAGGGCAGGAATAAAGAGGTAGACATAGAAAATGGACTGGAGGACATGGGGTGAGAGGGCAAAGCTGACGCGAAGTGAGAGTAGCATCGACATATATACACTACGGAATGTAAAGTAGTTTTCTGGTGGGAAGCAGCAGCATAGCAGAGGGAAATCGGCTTGCTGCTTTGTGGTGACCTAGAGGGGTGGGATAGGGAGGATGAGAGGGAGGCTCAAGAGGGAGGGGATGTGGAGACATGTGTATGCATATGGCTGATTTGCTTTGTTGTGCAACAGAAACTAACAGTATTGTGAAGCAATTATACTCCAATAAAGATCTATTAAAAAAACAAAAAAGCTACCGTCTTGAGATGGAATTTAGGAGACCTAAGTTTTAGTTGCTACTCTGCCTGCCAAGAGCTGTGCAGCCATGAGTGCATCGCTTAGCTTCTCTGTGCCTCAGTTTTCTCACCATAAATGGGAGTGTCAAACTAGGTTTCAAATCACACCTGTATAGTCATATTACTATATTACTCAAAGAACAGCAGGTATTTCTAAGTGTCCGCAAGAAAACGTCCATATTTTCTTTCTTCCTTTGTGCATGATGTTATGTTGATAGAATATGTCATACTTCGTTGGAAGTATGTTCTGGCCATTAGCATGGACTTAAGAAAAAAAAACCTAAACAACTTATTTTTGAATAGGTGATACTTGCATTTAGTAAGAACTTAAAAAACGTGCACATGTATATTGGAAAGAATTTTCCTTCCACCTTGAGTTCCAGTTCCTCTTTCCAAAGGCAGCCATTGTCCCCAGTTTCTTGTGTGTGCATCCAGAGATTAACTATATGTTTATAATAATATGCAACCTGAAACTTTTTTTAGAGTATGCAGGAAAAACAGGTTAATTGCAGGGGAAAAAGTAGAAAGTGGTATGAGAGCTAAAATCCTCATCGTAATAAATAGTTTATAGATGATGTTCCAAATTTATGAAAAGAGAAGCAATTAATTTTTAGAAGCATGAGGGTAAAATAGCTAAAAGAGGTGAAAAGGATTGCTGGGGGTGGCTTGCCATGGCCAGGATATGCAGGGTTTTTTTTAAAAAATATGTATCTCTTGACTCTATGTAATCTTTTGATAAAAATAAAAATTAATTTTAAAAGGAGAAAAGAAAATGTGGATAAACAAATGAAACAAAATTGCCTGGTATTGTAACCCCAGGTGTAACCAGTTTATTTTCTTCCAGTTTTGTCTATACTTTAAAAAATAAGAAAAATTGAAAGGTATCACCCACACCCCCAAGGAACAAAAAAGGTAAATACGTGAGGTGATGAATGTGTTAATTAACTTGGGGGAATTCTTTCACAAGGTATATCAAATCATCACATTGTACTATGAATATTGACTATCTTAACAATTTTGTCAGTTATACCTCAATAAAGCTAAAAAAAAAAAGAAAGTTTGAAAGAATAGTACAGCAAACACCTGTAAGCTATCACAGGTTTAACAGTTTTTAACATTTTTCCATATTTGCTTTGTATGTACTTATGTGTATGTGTGTATGTATATATATATGTATATATATATATATAATTTTTTCTGAATCCTTTGAAACAAATTGCAGATATGATAGTTCACCCTTAACTACTACTACTAGCTAATTACTGCTAAGCATGCATCTCTTACGAGTGACAGTGTCCTACATACCACATTATCATATGTAAGAAAATTAACACTAATTTCCTAGTATCATTTAAGTCATAATTTGAGTTTCCCCAATTGACCCCAAAATGTCTTTTATAGTTAGGGTTTTTTCTTATATGCATTTTGTTCTTTTGAACCAAGATCTAACCAGAGTTTATGCGTTACATTTGGTTATTACGTCTCTTTAGTCCAGTACCCCACCTTTATTTTCATGACATTGAATTTTTGAAGACTGTAACAGTTGTCTTGTAGAATGCCCATATACTCATATATATATGTGTGTGTGCATATATATATATATATATATACATATATATATGTATGTAAATAATTTTTTTTTGCCGCACCACGCGGCATGCAGGATCTTAGTCCCCTACCAGGGATCGAACCCGTGACCTGCGCCTCCTGCAGTGGAAGCATGAAGTCTTAATCACTGGACTGCCAGGGAAGTCCCAGCACATATATTTTTTAAAATAACGAAAGTGAACTTAACATTGGACATATTTTTGAAACTTCTGCTTTTTCACTTTAAAGTATTTTATGACTGTCTTTATAAGTTCACATTTTCGTTCATACATTCAGGGGTCTTCATAATCTGAGCTTAATATGCTTTTTCAGATTTCTGTCACTGCTCTCCAGCACCATCTTTTCCTCTCCTGAACTATCTGCCATGGTGTCCAGTCATCCTCTCTACTTTTATTCATTATCCAGCATTAGTCCAACACAGTTAGCTCATATGTTTCCCTCACTTGAAATACCTTTGCTTATTTAAGTCATAGAATTTTACAATTTGTTGAGCAGTGTAAATTTTGTAGGGCATAAGGCTGGCCTTCAAGTCCTAACTGTGGCCTTCAAGTCCTAACTATGTGACTGACAAGCTGTATAACTTTGATAAGTCATTTCCTTTCTGAGACTAAGTTTCCTCAGCTGTAAAATGAGGGGTCAAGTTAAATGTCATTGAATAGCCCATAATTATCAAGGGATAAGTATTGTAGAAAAGTAAGTATTAGAGTTTAGAAGCAGAGGTATGTTGCTGTTGGCTGGTATGTGTCATGTATGTGATTGAATTTAAGCTGAATGGTCGTGAAGCCCAAGTAAAATAATTTATGTGAAAAGTTCTGAAAAAACGTTATATAAATGTAATGTATTTTAACAAACAAAACAGCAGGGTTCTTTGGGTGAGTGGGTGGGGATGTTCTGGGATGCTGATGGTGTAATCATTACAGTATTTTAAAGAGTTTCTTAGAACTTCAGGTGCCCTAATAGTACTACTTAAAACTTTAAAATTGATACTACTCAGTGCTTTCCTAGGCGAGGATAATTATGGATCTGATATCTTCTCTTGTTCTTACAGCTCTATTATCAAGTCCTAAATTTTGGAATGATTGTCTCCTCGGCACTAATGATCTGGAAGGGGTTAATGGTCATAACTGGAAGTGAAAGTCCAATTGTAGTGGTGCTCAGGTAACAGTTTTTCTTTTCAAGGCATGGAATTGCATGGCATTACTTGGGAGAAAAATTGAAATGTTTAATAACTGATGTATCATTCCTTTAGACACTACTCTTTCCCAGAAGACGGCCTGGAAGAAAATTTGTTACTCTTTCTCACTTGTGAGAAATTCTAAACCTTGTTAGGCACTTTCCATTCAGATCCCAAAGGGCTCATGACTTTTCTATGAAATGTTTATGTGAGCTTTATTTTTGGCACATCTGTTAAGAAAGTATTTCGGTATACTTTATTTTCCTGAAATCCTTCTGTCTTCTTACATTCTTTACTTTGGAATATCAGGAAATTTAATTTACAAGATTTACAAGATTATATATCATCTTTACAAATTAAGAATTTTTCTACAGCATGTTTTCAGTGTCAGTATAGAAGCATCACTAATTATTTCCATGTTTCCTGCTGACCTTTAAATATCACTTCTAAATAGACTTAAGGAATTCTGAGTATATTAATGCCATCTCTTAAAGTGACAAATAGTACTGACTTTTTTTTCTCCACTGTCTTCCTTCCCTATCCTTGTACTCATACTCTTAGGGATTTAAAAACCTAATTTAGCAATTCATTTTTGGAGAATTACCACTTGGTGATTTAATTGAATCATTGTAGTTCTGTCTTATTTGGGGCTTAATTATGTAAGCTATCTCAAGTCTTTTCTGGAGATAATGGAGTATAACTATAAAATAAATTGAATCATTAACATTACCTAAAGTCTAGATAATAGTACATTATTCTTAACAAGATGAACTTGACTCTTTCATTTTCATACTAGGATATGCTTCCAGCAACAAGTGGTTGAAAGCACTGGGTGCCCAGTATCTTACTCCTCCCTTACTCATACCCATACCCTCGGTCTGAATTTATTAGTAATCAAATGCAACTGTGATTTTAGAGATACAATGAAATGTCTGGAGTTTATTACCTGGGAAAACATTTAATGTACTATTCTAGGGGTATAGAGACTTGGGTCTCTAGCTTTTTCATTGTCTAACTACAGCCTTGGGCAAGTCATTTATAGACTGAACCGTAGTTTCCTCATCTGTAAAATGAAGACTAGACCTAGATGATGTCAGAAGACTTTTCCAGTTTTAAAATTATGTGGCCCTAAGTTCCCAGTCTTGAACTCAGTGGAGAGCTTCAATTTGTGAAGTGTTCAAACACTAACAGAAGGAGAAGCCACACTAATTGGCACTGTGGGGAAAAGCTGTAGAGCGAAGGCCCAGGGAGGCTTCTTTTGAAGATTCTTCTGGAATTATTTCAGAGTGAGTTCTGTTCAGTGGAGATGTTTAAGTACAATCTAATGACCTTTAAACTGGGAATGATGGAGTGAAGAGGAGATTAGACTAAGCACCTGTGGAACATTTTGGTGGTCCTGAAAATATCAGTTGGGGCTTAAAAGGAGTGTTTGGATAAGTTATTTGGTAGCTAGGTTATTTGTATACTAAACTTTTCTGATTGCTGGTTTGGAATAAAGAAAAAAAATGAAAAGAGACAGGTCATATTAGAAGAGAATCTGGTCAAGACTGGAGGGAGTAGTCATTAGAGAAAGGTAATTTATGTGATTGGGTGTTATTTATGTGATTTCATAAAACTTCAAGGAATATAATTTTTACCTGGAACCAAATGTGCCTCAGAGGACTCAGGCCAACTGAGAATCCACTTTTAGGACTTTCGTGAAACCACTGGGGATAAAGACAAAAATACTTTCTTATTATTTATTTTATTAACTGAAGTTTCAGGGAACATTGAAAACTGATTTTTTTCCCCCTTTGTGAAGCTGAAGTCAGTTTAATTTATTTTTATTTTTATTTATTTATGGCCAAGCCGCGCAGCTTGCGGGATTTTAGTTCCCCCACCAGGGATCGAACCCGGGCCCTCTGCAGTTGAAGTGCGGAGTCCTAATTGGTGGACCGCCAGGGAATTCCCCAGTTTAATTTATATATAAATTATTTATATATAACTTCTTATAAAATTGATCATGATTGATGTATTAAATTTGAAAGTATAGTTTAATCAGATAACAGTAAGATGTTTATAAATAATTTATTTAATTTTTTAAAAGTTTCCCCTGGTTATTTCTTTAATGATCCTCTTACCACATGCTTTTATCTGTTTTTAATTGCCATCTGTATCTGAATTATTATTATTATTTTTTTTTTTGCGGTACATGGGCATCTCACTGTTGTGGCCTCTCCTGTTGCGGAGCACAGGCTCCGGAGGCACAGGCTCAGCGGCCATGGCTCACGGGCCTAGCCGCTCCGCGGCATGTGGGATCTTCCCAGACCAGGGCACGAACCCGTGTCCCCTGCATCGGCAGGCGGACTCTCAACCACTGTGCCACCAGGGAAATCCTGTATCTGAATTTTTAAATCTTTTTTTTTTTTCTAATCCAACTTTATTCCCTGAATCTACACTCTTGTTTTCATCCTACACTAACATCTCTATCTGGATGTTGACCAGGCATTTGAAACTCCACCTAATAAAAGTAAAATTCATCTCCTTTTCCCAAAAACCTGTTCTTCTTCCTCCTATTTCTGTGACTATCACAGCCATCTGCTCAGTTGCCAGTGTTAAAAACCTAGGAGTCATTCTTGATCCCCTCTTCTGTCATAGCCAGTTGGCCATCGAATTTGTTATTATCCCTCTCTCTATTCTACCCTTTTTTAGCTGTCCTCCCTGCTGTTATTCTATTTCAAGCCCTCATTTCCTGCCTGGGCTGTTGTAACAACCTTTAAAAAAATGCTTTTATAATCAGAAAAAAGTTAATATACTTTCATTATATGAAATGTTGAAATCACAGAAAAAATCTAGATGAAACTAAGTCACCCATAGTTCTGGGATATAATCACTATTACCATTTTAGTCTCTTTTTTCATGTATATTATTTCTTACATAATTGAGGTAATTCTGTATGTGTATCCTTTTCTCAATCTTTTCCCCTTATCATTCTCCAGTGTCCATGTTTTTAATAACACTTTTAATAATTACCAAGTATTCACTTGTAAGTAATAGCCTGGACAACTGGTCTCCCAATTTACCGTCTCATCTTTTTCAGTTTACTCATCAATTCAATAAATATTTGAATGTCTTCTATGTACTCTGTAGTTTCTGAAGTGATGTTTCTTAAATGCAAATATGATAATGATACTCTCTGCTAAAATTCTAGAGTATCTCAGAAGCAGTTTAGCACAGTGAGAGTGAACCTCCTTGGTTCAAATCTCACCTTTATCATTTTTTTAATTTACAACTCTAGGCCATTCTAAGCCTCAGTCTCCTTATCTATAAAGTTGGGATAATAATAGTACCTACATCATAGAGTTGTTCTGAAGATAGTTTTAAAAAAAAAGAACTCTTAAAATTGGCACTCTGCATATAATAAGTGCTCGATAAAGATGAGTCATTCACCCAGAACAACTCAGCTTTTATCTATTTCATTTATATCATTTTCAAGCAAGGTTTTATTTGAACAAAGGATGTCACTGATTTTAAAAAAGAGCCAAAATAAAAACTTGAAAATTTCATGTCTAGAATACCTTCTGTAATATTTTCACCAAACACATGTTCTATCTTTTGTCTGAACACCTTCTGAGAAAGGGAACTCATTGCCCCAAGAGGAACCTAAACAAAACTTTTAAGAATAAACGTGTACTGAAAATTCATATTTCTAGTGGTTCCCGAATTTTGCTCATATTAGAATCACTTGGGATCTTTACAGAATACTGATGCCTGCTTCTCTCATCCACAGACATTCTGATTTAAGTGGTTTGAGATATGACCTGAGCGTGGGGACTTTTAAGTTTCTCAGGTGATTCTTGTGTGCACCAAAGTTTGGGAACCACTGCCATATTCCCTTATGTATGTAGAGGGACCAGAGTCTTCAAACAGAAGTGTTTGGACTTTGTCATTTTTGCTGTATTGAATTTTTTTCCTTGTCTTCTGTTTTTTCTTACTAAATTTATTGTTAATGAAAACTGGAGCTTGAGTTTCTGAAAACAATAATGATGGGCTACTTCTTTATAGAAAGAAAAGTTTCATTAATTAGTGCAAATATCTTAGGACCTTTGAAGAACTTGGTATAAGGTAGAACAGGTGAAAGGTAAGAAGACACTCTAGAAGTTTGTCATCAGTAATTACCATGGAATTGAATTCTTTGCTTGTTTCTGAAATTCTTAGGCAAAAATCTCTGGTCTTGTCCTTGGTTTTGTTTCTTGTTTCTCTTTTTTAAATAAATAAATTGATAGCGCAAGCATTATCTCTGTCGCTGACTGTTCTTTGACTTGATGAGCTGTTTTCCTTCTTGTTGGGTTGAAACCATAAGGTCATCTTGGTCTGTATCTTTATAAATGTCAGGAAAAGATGATCCAGTTCTCATCTGAATATCTTTAGCGTTTTCAGATGAAGTGAGAATAAGGACAGTGATTATAAAGTTCACTCTTTTATATATTGTTTGTCACTTGAAGTTTTAAAACGTTAAAGAATTAGTAACATTGCCCTTTTCAAAATTTAAGCTCCTTTGAATAGTAATGGTTGAAATGGAACTAGTTATGAAGGCTATTAACTAAAGGAAACCTGTAGTATAACTAGTCTGAGGAAACCATATTTGGAGGACAATACACATTTTATGTTGATATATTTGTTAAGATATTAAGTATATTCCAAAGGTGATACTTCTAATTGTTTGTTGCATATCTAACTTTGAAAGTAAATTTAATCTCAGGCTTTCTTTTGCTATTATATTCTTCTTTCCCTCCCAGTGGCAGCATGGAACCTGCATTTCATAGAGGAGATCTTCTCTTTCTAACAAATCGAGTTGAAGATCCCATACGAGTGGGAGAAATTGTTGTTTTTAGGATAGAAGGAAGAGAGATTCCTATAGTTCACCGAGTCTTGAAGATTCATGAAAAGTATGTGCAAACTATATCTTCTCTATTTTAAAACATTTTTATGTTTTAGTGTTTGCAGCATTTAATTTTGATAGCCTAAAGATTAAGAAAGGGTGGGGAACTCCTAGGTCCTTCTTCCAGTCCATTTTTATGAATGTCTGAAGGTTTGGTGAACATTTGGAAGACTAAATGCTTATTTAGTAATTCATTTTTCCCTGAAGGCTTTTCTGGAGGGTTTTCTTGGTTCCCTTCCACTTCCCAACCAGATCAGTAACCCTGTTTGTATATAGCCCCAGAAAAAACATGACACAAAGGTTGATCCCAAATAGAATCTTCTGATATAATGGACGAGGTAGCCCTAGCCTTTCAAAAACAAATCTTTAAGGCAATCTCACAGATATTTTAAATAAGAATAAGTTTGTCAACTTTTTCAAATTCCAAAGAAAATTTCTGAAATCTAAGTTATTCTTGTAAATATAGACTCTTGTGTTTTAGAATTGAAAAGGATATATGTAAAACCTTGAGAATCCCCTGGTGTGGAGGAGGGACATAACAATGAGCAAAAAATGTCACCTCTCTGGGTCTCAGTTTCCCTGTCTGTAGTAGAAAGAGGTTCAGGAAGATGAACTATAAGATCTCTGGGTTCAATATTTTAAGATAACTTCAAATGGAGTATAATCTGTAAAAATTTTGGATCCCTCTGTTGTATACCTGAAAACTAATATAATATTGTAAATCAACTATACCTCAATAAAAAATAATAAAGTATGCAGAAAAAAAAAAGATCTCTGGGCTCTAAGCCTATGCTTCCCTGTGCAGCTACATATTCCTCACCCCCTCCATTCCAAGTCTGTAATATTTCTAGTTAAGGAAAACTTTCAGAAGGAAGGAAAGAAAGAAATGAAGGAAAAGGGAGTGTCCTGGAGGACATACAGAGGGAAGTAAAACAGTGGGAGTAATGTAGGTTCTTGAGTATGAGGAAGCCCTAAATAGATACTACCTCATGTTTACCACCCTCTCAAGTGGTTTACAGTCTCCACTTCCAGAAGAGGGAATTGACAACTGTTTTTTTGAAAAATCCCTGTAAACATTCTAGCTTAGAAGAGTTCTTTCTTCACTGATAAAATAAAGATCTTGGGCTTCCCTGGTGGTGCAGTGGTTGAGAGTCTGCCTGCCGATGCAGGGGACGTGGGTTCGTGCCCTGGTCCGGGAAGATCCCACGTGCTGTGGAGCGGCTGGGCCCGTGAGCCATGGCCACTGAGCCTGCATGTCTGGAGCCTGTGCTCCGCAATGGGAGAGGCCACAGCAGTGAGAGGCCCGCGTACTGCAAAAAAAATCAATCAATCAATCAATAAAATAAATAAAGACCTACTGCTCTTTTTTTCCCATACTTCAGTATATTGGAAGATTATAATTTTTATATTGCATTCTATTAGTGACTAGGAAGGAATAACTTAGTTTTCTTTAATTTTACTTTTATTTATTGTGAAGGTTTATTCAGTACAGGTAGTGTTTTCCACATTCTCAAAGTGTATTTGTGTTGTTTGTTCTCAGCACTACCTGTTGTGAACAAATCAAAACCAACTTTCCCCTGAATTTATCAGAAGAAAATCACGCCCTGCTTTGGGTAGAGCAGAAGTTGTCCATTTTTATGTGTGATCTTTTGACATTGAGTTATTTATTTATTTATTTTAGAATGGGTTTTTATTTATTTATTTATTTTTATTTTTGGCTGCGTTGGGTCTTCGTTGCTGCGCATGGGCTTTCTCTAGTTGCAGCGATCGGGAGCTACTCTTCGTTGTGGTGCACGTGCTTCTCGTTGCGGTGGCTTCTCTTGTTGTGGAGCACCAGCTCTAGGCGCACGGGCTTCAGTAGTTGTGGCAGGTGAGCTCAGTAGTTGTGGCTTGTGGGCTCTAGAGCGCAGGCTCAGTAGTTGTGGTGAACGGGCTTAGTTGCTCCGTGGCATGTGGAATCTTCCCAGACCAGGGCTCAAACCCGTGTCCCCTACATTGGCAGGTGGATTCTTAACCACTGTGCCACCAGGGAAGTCCCAGGTTTTTTATTTTAAAACAGTTATCTTATTTCAGGACAGGTTCACTGACAGATATATCAATTACAGATTCCTTAAATTTAACAGAATTGTGAACATTTTAAACTGTATGGTGTTTGTAATCTGACGTTATTGGTCATTTACTTTAAACATTTGAGATGCCTTCAATTAGCAGGCCTGTTTAAATAACAGATCCTATTAATCTTCTGAAGTTTCAAATTTCCTTTTTTGGGGTGGGGGAAAGACTAAAATACCTGGTTGTAATAATCATTTGATTTAATAGTATTAACATTGTTCTTAACTATGGGACCAAATGACAACCAAAATGGATTAAGTTTTTTTTTTTTTTTTGCGGTATGCGGGCGTCTCACTGTTGTGGCCTCTCCCATTGCGGAGCACAGGCTCCAGATGCGCAGGCTCAGCGGCCATGGCTCACGGGCCCAGCCGCTCCGCGGCATGTGGGATCTTCCCGGACCGGGGCACGAACCCGTGTCCCCTGCATCGGCAGGCAGACTGTCAACTGCTGCACCACCAGGGAAGCCCTGGATTAAGTTTTTGTAGTAAATGTGTCCTGAACGTTTTCAAGCTGGTTTTTGCACTGTTAACACGTTTCTGTCATCTGAACCTTGTTTTAAGAAATGAAATCCTGAGCTTTAAGAATAGAGGTAGGAAAAAAAAAAAGAATAGAGGTAGGAATTGTTCAGCTAACCTCTCTCTTGTCTCATTCCTCCTTCTCCATCTACTTTTTTTTAATATAAATTTGTTTATTTATTTATTTTTGGCTGTGTTGGATCTTCATTTCTGTGTGAGGGCTTTCTCTAGTTGCAGCGAGCGGGGGCCACTCTTCATCGCGGTGCGCGGGCCTCTCACTATCGTGGCCTCTCTTGTTGTGGAGCACAAGCTCCAGACACGCAGGCTCAGTAGTTGTGGCTCATGGGCCTAGTTGCTCTGTGGCATGTGGGATCTTCCCAGACCAGGGCTCAAACCTGTGTCCCCTGCATTGGCAGGCAAATTCTCAACCACTGTGCCACCAGGGAAGCCCTACTCTTTTTTCTAATAAATTTTACTTATTTATTTAATTTTTTTTTTTTTGGAACCTGGACAGGGACTTGAACCCTGGGCCCTCAGATTAAAAGTTCCATCTGCTTCTTATGTAAATTTGGAAATATAACATAAAACTTTTTTTTCATGTATTGAATCTCCATCTTATGAACATTCTTATTACATTATTATTCTTAACACATGATGCTGTGTGAAATTGGAAAATACAAAATTGCCTGTAATCCTAGCATCCAGAGACAAAATGTTAAGTTGGGGGTCATTTTCTTTTTGTCTTATAAACATACGTTTTCCTCCCTGTGCAACACTGGGATCTGCTCAATAACTACCTTTTTTTTTTTTTTAACATCTTTATTGGAGTATAATTGCTTTACAATGTTGTGTTAGTTTTTGCTGTATAACAAAGTGAATCACCTATATGTATACATATATCCCCATATCCCCTCCCTGTTGCACCTCCCTCCTACCCTCCCTATCCCATCCCTATAGGTGGTCACAAACCACTGAGCTGATCTCCCTGTGCTATGCAGCTGCTTCCCCCTAGCTATCTGTTTTACATTTGGTAGTGTATATATGTCAGTGCTACTCTCTCACTTCATCCCAGCTTACCCTTCCCCGTCCCCGTGTCCTCAAGTCCATTCTCTATGTCTGCATCTTTATTCCTGTCTTGCCCCTAGCTTCATCAGAACCATTTTATTTTTTATTTTTTGGTTCCATATATATGTGTTAGCGTACGGTATTTGTTTTTCTTTCTGACTTACTTCACTCTGTATGACAGACCCTAGGTCCATCTACCTCACTACAAATAACTCAATTTCGTTTCTTTTTATGGCTGAATAATATTCTGTTGTATATATGTGCCACATCTTCTTTATCCATTAATCTGTCGATGGACACTTAGGTTGCTTCCATGTCCTGGCTATTGTAAATAATGCTGCAATGAACATGTGGTCCATGCTTCTTTTTGAATTACGGTTTTCTCAGGGTATATGCCCAGTAGTGGGATTGCTGGGTCATATGGTAGTTCTATTTTTAGTTTTTTAAGGAACCTCCGTACTATTCTCCATAGTGGCTGAATCAATATACATTCCCACCAACAGTGCAAGAGGGTTCCCTTTTCTCCACACCCTCTCCAGTATTTATTGTTTGTAGATTTTTTGATGATGGCCATTCTGACCCGGTGTGAGGTGATACCTCATTGTAGTTTTGATTTGCATTTCTCTAATGATTAGTGATGTTGAACATCCTTTCATGTGTTTGTCGGCAGTCTGTATATCTTCTTTGGAGAAATGTCTCTTTAGGTCTTCTGCCCATTTTTGGATTGGGCTGTTTGTTTTTTTGGTATTGAGCTGCATGAGCTGCTTGTATATTTTGGAGATTACTTCTTTGTCATTTGCTTCGTTTGCAAATATTTTCTCCCATTCTTAGGGTTGTCTTTTCGTCTTGTTTATGGTTTCCTTTGCTGTGCAAAAGCTTTTAAGTTTCATTAGGTCCCATTTGTTTATTTTTGTTTTTATTTCCCTTACTTTAGGAGGTGAGTCAAAAAAGATCTTGCTGTGATTTATGTCATAGCGTGTTCTGCGTATGTTTTCCCGTAAGAGTTTTATTTATGGGACTCTGCACTTCCTGGACTTGATTTACTGTTTCCTCTCCCATGTTAGGGAAGTTTTCAACTATAATCTCTTCAAATATTTTCTCAGACCCTTTTTTTTCTCTTCTTCTTCTGGGACCCCCTATAATTCCAATGTTGGTGCAACTAATGTTGTCCCAGAGGTCTCTGAGACTGTCCTCAGTTCTTTTCATTCTTTTTTCTTTATTCTGCTCTGTGGTAGTTATTTCCACTATTTTATCTTCCAGGTCACTTGTCTGTTCTTCTGCCTCAGTTATTCTGCTATTGATTCCTTCTAGATAATTTTTTTATTTCATTTATTGTGTTGTTCATCATTGTTTGTTTGCTCTTTAGTTCTTCTAGATCCTTGTTAAATGTTTCTTATATTTTCTCCATTCTATTTCCAAGATTTTGGATCATCTTTACTATCATTTCTCTGAATTTTTTATCAGGTAGACTGCCTATTTCCTCTTCATTTGTTTGTTCTGGTGGGTTTTTACCTTGCTCCTTCGTCTGCTGCATATTTCTCTGTCTTCTCATTTTGTTTAACTTACTGTGTTTGGGGTCTCCTTTTCGCAGGCTGTAGGTTCATAGTTCCCGTTGTTTTTGGTGTCTGGGTAAGGTTGGTGTTTGGGTAAGGTTGGTTCAGTGGCTTGTGTAGGCTTCCTGGTGGAGGGGACTGGTGCCTGTGTTTTGGTGGGTGGGGCTGGATCTTGTCTTTCTGGTGGACAGGGCCACATCCAGTGGTGTGTTTTGGGGTGTCTGTGAACTTAGTATGATTTTAGGCAGCCTCTCTGCTAATGGGTGGGGCTGTGTTCCTGTCCTGCTAGTTGTTTGGCATGGGGCGTCCAGCACTGGAGTTTGCTGGCCGTTGGGTGGAGCTGGGTTTTAGCGTTGAGATGAAGGTCTCTGGGAGAGCTCTTGCTGATTGATATTACGTGGGGCTGGGAGGTCTCCGGTGGTCCAATGTCCTGAACTTGGTTCTCCCACCTCAGAGGCTCAGGCGTGACACCAGGCTGGAGCACCAGGACCCTGTCAGCTGCACGGCATTGCGTTGACTGGCTCTCCATCACCGTGACCGTGGCAGGCAAGGTTTGTGGGCACGACTTCAGCTGCCTGGGAAAAGCTCTGATATGACATCAGAACTTATTTCTGCAACTATCTGGAAAAATCCATACTTGACTTTTTCCCATCTTCTCCAGCTGTAGAATATCTGCCCTCCAAGCAGCACATAACCTAAACAATGAGATGTTTGCCTCAGTTGTTTCCCAGAAACTTGGAGTCAGCTGTGTCCTCAGTACTATTTTGTAACATGATTATCTCATGAGCATATGGTAGAATATACCTGGTATTACCACATATGCAAAGAATTCCTGAACTAAAAGATGACCTTGCCAAGTACTACTTAATACGATGGTACTAGGTCCATGAATTTGAATCTGTTCTTTGTGCCCAGTGTAGTTCATCTAGTCCTGCCTGTTATCCACGTGAGACTAATTTTGTGTCCTGAGCTATCTGACTAGGCAATGGAAAAGTGCACGTTATCAAGGGCTTCTCTCTAGTGCACTACTGAGCTCAGGAAAAATTCCCTTAACAGAAACATTAAGTAATTTCCGATATTTGGGGACAATAGGAAATTGTGAGAAAGTGGTTGGCATTGGAGTTTTTGTTTTTGTTTGGAGATTGTGTTATCCCTTAATCATTTTATCTTTTTAAAAATTATTTTATTTGTTTTTTTAAACTAAACGTGTTACAAGATATTAAATATAGTTCCCTGTGCTATACTGTAGGTCCTTGTTTATCTATTTTATACGTAGTAGTGTGTATCTGTTAATCCCAAATTCCCAGTTTATCCCTACCCCCGGCATTGTTATTTAAAAAAAAAAAAAAGACTTAACCACCTCCTGCACTGATTATAGTTAATACTGTATTTTTAATTAAGTAAAAAAAGGAGGGCTATGAGATATGCATGCAGAAAGGTTATATGTACTGTGGCAAACAGCAAAAAACATCTTCTTTGAATCCTTCGCTCCCCTTGCCTATTTTTTGCTTTCCATTTTCTTCCAAAATGGACGAGTTAGGAAAGCAGAGATAGTGAAGTTTGTTTTTTAATTTAAAAGGTGAGATAGCTATTAAATGTTTATCAGTTGACTTAATTTTCATGGATACCTCCTCGTATTAGCCTGTTAGTCAGCAATTCGTAATACTTACATTTTTCCCACATATAAACTCCTACTTTATCTTATTGTATAGCCTACTCTAATATGTATTTAGTAAGTTCAGCCTATAGGTAGTATTATAATTTGATGATATTGAATACTGGCATGTGATCAAGTATTTAGAAGGAGAATTCTCCATTGGGGTGACTTAGTCCTTTGCTTTGCTTTTTCTGTGCAGATAGATACATTATTTTGCACCCATTTGGCTCTTGGGGTCTTACTTTATCTTATCTAAGTTATTTCCTCCCTCCTAACATCACAGTATTGTAATGGTTGAATTTTAAGTGCTTTGAGCTCCTTGGAGATAGATAATACTAAATATTTGGTCCCTATGCTAGCGAGGGAAAAGTCCCATATAAATGTGTTGTCAATCAGGATTCGGTGCTCGTGGGTCGTGAAGTGCTAGAATAGGTCTTCATAGTAGGCTTAATAGGAGCTGGTTGCCACCAGAGAATATTTCTTGCACTATTTTTTTAAAATTTTTTAAAATTAATTAATTAATTGATTAATTATTTTTGGCTGTGTTGGGTCTTCATTTCTGTGCGAGGGCTTTCTCTAGTTGGGGCAAGCGGGGGCCACTCTTCATCGTGGTGCACGGGCCTCTCACCATCGCGGCTTCTCTTGTTGCGGAGCACAGGCTCCAGACGCGCAGGCTCAGTAGTTGTGGCTCTCGGGCCTAGTTGCTCCGCGACATGTGGGATCTTCCCAGACCAGGGCTGGAACCCGTGTTCCCTGCATTGGCAGGCAGATTCTCAACTACTGCGCCACCAGGGAAGCCCTCTTGTACTATTAAGTAGATGAAGGAAACCTGTGCTTTTTCAGCTATAGTGGGTCCTGATTACATCCCAGAGGGTGGGAAATTGTGTTTGTTTGTTTGTTTTGTTGACAAATTAGTCTTTGGGAATAGCTCAGATCTCTCGTAGCATCCCTTTCCTTTCCTAGGGAGTTTCCCATTTCCCAGCTTTTCTTTCCTCATACTTTACTTTTCTGCCTCTTTTCTTGGTGTTATTTCCTGGTTGAATGGACTCTTCTTCCTGCTGCTGCTGACTTTCACTCTGCAGCTAGCCCCCCCTTGGCACCTGTCCTCTTTTACCCTCCAGGATTTTTCAGACATTCTTTCACTTACTGAGTTGTCAGCTACAGATTATTTTTCTCTGTATATATTAGCATTTTTTCTAATTGGAATCTCATTTTTAATGAGACTGTTTGCACTTAACTGTTTTTGTTGTTGCAGCACCTCCCAATTTAGTTTTATCTGCAGATGATTTAGTGTCTAGTGAGCCATTTTCTGGCTTAGAATCTAGGTGGATATTAGTCAGTAGGAGTTAAAGCTATTTTTCTTCTTTCTAGTGTAGCTGTTAACCCAAACTCACTTGAGTTAATTTTTTTTTTTTTGGTGGTACACGGGCCTCTCACTGTTGTGGCATCTCCCATTGCGGAGCACAGGCTCCGGACGCGCAGGCTCAGCGGCCATGGCTCACGGGCCCAGCTGCTCCATGGCATGTGGGATCTTCCCAGACCAGGGCACGAACCCGTGTCCCCTGCATCGGCAGGCGGACTCTCAACCACTGCGCCACCAGGGAAGCCCTTGAGTTAACTTTTTAAGATAGTCTTTATCAACTGTAAAATGCACTTTGCTTTCAGTTAAATTTTAAGATTACTAGAAGCCTCATGGTTCTTTAGTAGAATTAAATTAATAGTTATCTGATCGAGTAGGGTGATGTTTCTATAGACCCTGGCTTGTAAAAGTAGTGCATGTTTGTTGGAGAAAAAAAATGAGAAGCTAAAAGCCAGCTAAAAAAAAGCCATAGATAGCTGCTGTTTACACCTTGGTCTATCATTTTAGACCTTGTTTAATATTTTTCTTTTTTACTTTTTTTTTCATATGGAGAATTTCTAACATGCACAGAAGTAGACAAAACAGTATAATGAACTTCCATGTACCAGTCACCTAGTTCCAATAATTATTAATCTATAGCCAATTCTGCCTACATTGCCACCTCTTCCCCTTCTCCTGCCTGTATTATTTTGAATTAAATCCTAGATATCATGTGGTATATATGTAAATATTTCAATAAATAGCTATAAAACATAACCAGTGAGCTTTTAAAGAGTATAACTGTAATTAACATTCTTACACCTAAAAACATGAACAATCATTCCTTTGTATCATTAAGTTTCCAATCTTTGTTCAAATTTCCAATTGTGTCTTAACTTTTTTTAACAATTTGTTTGAATCCAGATTCAAAGAACGTCCTCAGTTGCAGTTGGTTGATATGGCTTTATAATGTCTTTTATTTAAATCTGTAAATTCCTTCTCTAACTTTCTTTGTCCCTTGCAATTTATTGGTTGAAGAAACTGGGTCATTCTGTAGTTTCCCACAGTCTTCGTTTGGAAGATTATATCCAAATGAAGTAGTTTAATGTGTTCCTTTGCGCTTTGTATTTCCAAAATATTGGTGGTTTGTGTTTATTTTAATATGAAAATGATATTATACTGTACATGCTATTTTGTAATATTTTTTCACTTAATAAAATTTGTATGATCTTCTGATGTCATTAAATTTTCTTCTGTATCACCGGCCTTAATGCTTGCATAGATTTCAACTCCTGTTAGACTTTGTTTGCTTCCAGTTTTTTCTTATTGTAAATAATATAGCTATGAACATCCTTTTAGCTAAATAAATAATTATTTTGATATTGGGAATGATGATAAAATGCCACAGTTCCACAGGAATTTTCAGTTAACATGAACAAATTTTGTACTTTCAAATGGCAGGAAGGTATTTGGTGACTTGGGTTTCCCTTACTCTTTTAAGGCAAAATGGACATATCAAGTTTTTGACCAAAGGAGATAATAATGCGGTTGATGACCGAGGCCTCTATAAACAAGGACAACATTGGCTAGAGAAAAAAGATGTCGTGGGGAGAGCGAGGGGGTAAGTATAGAGGGGAGATTTACTGAAACATTGGCTCTCTCGATCATATTGTCTGATCATACACAATTGAATATAATGGCTTGGTCCTGGTTCGGCCAAATCACCTTGTGTCCTTTGAAAAAGTATGCTTCTTAAATTGCATCTGAAACTTCAGGTTTACTGCTCCAGAAGGGAGAATATGGGGTGCTATAAAAGAACAGAATATTAGTGATGAGGATGAATTAGAGTGACAGTTTAAAAAATTCATTTGTCTGTTTAATTCATTTCAGAAATGTTACTGGGCACCTTCCATGTACTCTGACGTCTAATACTGTGCTAGGCTCTGGGGATCCAGAGCGGTATTAATCCTGCTTCTTGAAACTTACATTTCTTAAGTGTTTACTGAGTCAACAACTTAAAGTGTTCATCTAGATTAATTTCATCATGTTGATTTATTCCATATTGTTTTATTTCTAGTTTTGAAATTATTGAGGTCAAATGAAATTTAAAAGTTATATTAAGCCTGTTTATTTCAGATTTTATCAGGAGAACAGATCAGTGAAGGACAGGAATTGTAAGTTACTGGTATGAGGAAGTATGGGATTATTACTACCTTCATGTTATTAATACTATTAACAATAACTCACATTTATTAGGGCTTACTCTGTGCCAGAGACTCATTCTAAGTGCTTTCTTTACAAGTATTACCTCATTTTAACCTGAGAACAACCCTAATATTTCCATTCTACAGATGAGGAAACACAGACATGTTAGGTTGTTTATCTAAGTCACACTGATGATAGTAAGTGGCTGGCTGACTCCAGAGCCCACCCTTTTTACCATCATAGCAAAATTACTGGTATAACACTTCTGAGATGGGTAGCTGCTTGTTCACTTTAGATGCTACATGGCACTCTTATCCACTGTCAGAACACCTGCTCCTTCTAACCTAGAACAGACACTGTGGATTCAGTGATTCCACTAGTGAACAGTGGAGCTGAGGAGCTGTGTTCCCATAAAGAAATAAATTCAAGTTATTAAGTAAAAGCTGCCTTGGTTACAGCAGAAGAGATGTTCAGTTTGGGGCCAGAGAGATCGGATCAGAAAAAGCACCAATGTGTTTTGTCTTCAGCAGACCTGGTTTTTTGTGTACACCTCCAGTTCAAGGGAACTTGATTTCCTATGATGGAGCTAAACATACTTTTATAATTCAAATTAGATTATCAGTGCTTCTGAGAAGTGATAGTCCCCATTTCCCTCAGTTCCCAAGATGCTGCTAATATCAGCCTCTTAGAGTCTTTTTGCTTTTCCTTTAATTGCAAATGTACAGATTCTTGTAGAAACATAAGGAAATAACAGTCATCAAAAAGCAGAGTCACTTCTTTCCTTTCAGTTCCTCCATAAATATTTAATTTTTTGGTTTGTGTTCTTTTAGCCGATATGTGTAAAGATGCAGATCTTAATGTATAAGTGTGTATACATAAACACATTTTGTGTATGGGGAGAGAATCGTCACACTGCTTATAACCTCTTTTTTATCCTCCAATGTTATTAGTATCTATAAATCAAAAGATTTATTTCCATATCATCATTTTCAAATCTGTATGCTACTCTACTGTGTGCAAAGACCATATTTTTATTTAGCCAAAATCTCCTATTGTCAGATGCCTTTGATTGTGAGCAGTGTTATGATGAGCATCCCTGTTACATATATCTCAGTGCCTCTGCCCAGTCATTTCTTCACAGTAAATTCTTATACTTGGAATGACCTGGTGAAACATAAGCATATTTTAAGGCTTTGGACAAATTTTTGTTGTACAGTTTTATTTGTACTCCTCACAGAGGGTCCCTTTATCTGGATCTTGATTCTTAGGTGTTTAGTGCAGCTCTGTCTGCTCATTCTGGCCCCCTGTTTGGGTAAAAAATGCATCATCCTATGGAAGGGTGGAGGAACCAGGCTTTCTTTTACTCAAGTAACTTGTCTTTTCTAAAGAATTTTTTAAAAGTCCCAAACTATGTACAGTGTTATTTCTAAAATCCCAGGATTGAAAGTTATAGGCCTTTTTCTGGCTATTAATTTTAAAAATGTTATAGTCTGGTACTCTCTTAATTAAATAACTTTGCATGAAGTATAAACATCTGGGATATGAACAGCAGGAGCACAGACTCTTAACTGTTACAAATTCACTTTCCGTTGATTATGTCACCACTTACCTTGACACATAATGAGGCACATCATCTCCTTTTGTGAAAATTGTGTTTATAAAATGCTAAACTATATTTCAGAGTCAGACTGTACCCAAACCTTGGAATTTTTTTTTTTCAAACAGCTGCACACTAAAAAATTTTACACTGAAGCCTAAAGCCCTAAATAAAAACAAATTTAAACAATTTTTTATTGAAATATAATTCACATATATTAGGATATAAAATTTACCCTTTTAAAGTGTACAGTACAGCGAGTTTTATTATATTCACAAAGTTGTAAAACCGTCACCACTGTTTAATTCCAGAACATTTCCTCACCCCAAAAAGAGAACTTGGTACTGATTTGCAGTCACTCTGCATCCCCTTCTCCCTGCAGCCCCTGGCAACCACTAATCTACTTCCTGTCTCTATGGATTGCCTGTTCTGGACATTTTATATAAACAGAATCTTACAATATGTGGTCTTACAATATGTCCGGCTTCTTTCACCTAGCGTAATGTTTTCAAGGTTCATTCATGTTATAGCATGTAATAAAACACTTTTAGAAAGTGAAACTAATACTGAACCAAGTAAGAATAGGGGTGATTCTTTCTAAATTCAGGTAGTTGAAAAACACAAGAGAACCTGTTAGTCAAAGACGAGTAGAAAGCAACAGGAGAAGAGGACGAAAACCTGGCAGAAGATCAGGGAATAGAGAAATATTGACAGCGAAAAGAAGAATAAAAATAAAGGAAGGAGCAGAGTAATTGAGCTCTCTGTTGACTGAAATCAGTTTTATGGAGGAGGCTTTTATTTATTTATTTAATTTTTTTTTTGTCTGCATCTGGTCTTAGTTGTGGCGCACAGGACCTTTGTTGCCACGTGCGGGATCTTCAGTTGTGGCATTCGAATTCTTAGTTGCGGCATGCATGTGGCATCCAGTTCCCTGACCAGGGATTGAACCCAGGCCCTCTGCATTGGGAGCATGGAGTCTTAGCCACTGGACCACCGGGGAAATCCTGGAGGAGTCTTTTACAATGTACTTTTTACTTAGCTTGAAACAGACTGTTCCGGGATAGAAACAATGCTCCTTTTTAAGGCAGCTACTGGGGTCCAAACTTCCCAGATGTAGATCCCTTTTGACATCTGACAGATTATTTTCACCCAGAGCATCAGCAGATAGTTCTTCCTTCTGAGGCTCCTTTCTTGGCAGCACCTTTGATTCCAAGAACTCCCAGGGACACGTATTTATCCCTACTGTACCTTCTAGATGTTAACTTGCCACAGGCTGGTGTTGAGGTTGGCTTTGTGGATGGCATTTGTTTTACTTATTTTAAACCTCTGCTTATTATCAACTCTGCTTTAGCAGAGTTTATCTGAACTCAGTAGGAAAAAAGTGCAACTGATTTGAATTTAAGATGACTGATGATAGCAGCATCATGCACTTGATTAGCGACTCTTGACTGTCTTTGTCCGTGGAGGAAAACAGTAGTATAGGTAATTAAATCTTTTGTTTGACTTTGGACTGCCTGTCATATTCTGGCAACCTTATGTTTTGCTTCTATTACTCCTAAAGATCAAGTTGCTTCTATTTCACACTTACGGTGGGCAAGGAAAAACCACCGTAGGGGGGGAATATGTTTCCATGGATAACCCATAAGCAGACTATGTGATCATTGTGCTTCTTTGAGCATAGATATCATTGTATGGAGGTAACAGTGAAAGTCTCTACCCATGAGCATGGCTGCTGATTGATCATCAGGCCAGAATTAGCAGTCTGATGTTGTTTTATTTATTTAAAACAGAATTTTTTTTTTAGATTTTTATTTTCTTATTTTTGGCTGTGTTGGGTCTTCATTGCTATGCATGGGCCTTCTCTAGTTGTGGTGAGCGGGGGCTACTCTTCGTTGCGGTGCGCAGTCTTCTCACTGCAGTGGCTTGTCTTGTTGCGGAGCGCGGGCTCCAGGTGCGCGGGCTTCAGTAGTTGTGGCACACAGGCTCAGTAGTTGTGGCTTGTGGGCTCTAAAGCACAGGCTCAGTAGTTGTGGTGAACGGGCTTAGTTGCTCCACGGCATGTGGGATCTTCCCAGACCAGGGCTCAAACCCGTGTCCCCCTGCATTGGCAGGCGGATTGTTAACCACTGTGCCACCAGGGAAGCCCCTGATGTTGTTTTAATAGAAGTCACAGATGCTTTTATAGCTTTTAATCTGCATTTTACTGTAAGGCATTTGCCTTTATGTTCTTAAATTTAGATGATTTTCCTTCTGAAGGACTGGAAACTGTTGCTTTTATGAAGATGTTATAAGTGAGACAAAAGAAATAGAGTTGTTGCATTAAAAAGAAAAAATATGTGTATTAAAAATATAGAAAACCTTTATCTACCCTCCTAGAGCTTAGCTAGGCCATTCTGTAGTGACTGTTACTTTTCAGCTCTTAGAGGTCCCACAGGTTGAAAATAAAGCATGGGCCCTAAAAGGGGATATGATTTGTCACCACATGCCTGTTCCATATATCTTGCTTGCTAGAACTGTGCTTCTTGTACTTTAATGTGCAGAAGCGTCATTTGGGCCCGACCTTCCAGAGGTGCTCTGACTCAATAAATCTGGGAAGATAGAGCAATCTGCACTTTAAAAAAATTTATTTATTTATTTTTGGCTGCGTTAGGTCTTCGTTGCTGCATGCAGGCTTTCTCTAGTTGCAGCAAGTGGGGGCTACTCTTCGTTGCAGTGCACGGGCTTCTCTTTGTGGTGGCTTCTCTTGTTGAGGAGCACGGGCTCTAGGAGTGTGGGCTTCAGTAGTTGTGTCTCGCGGGCACTAGAGCGCAGGTTCAGTAGTTGTAGTGCACAGGCTTAGTTGCTCTGCGGCATGTGGGATCTTCCTGGACCAGGGCTCAAGCCCGTGTCCCCTGCATTGGCAGGCGGATTCTTAACCACTATGCCACCGGGCAAGTCCGTAATCTGCATTTTTTTCTTTTTTTTTGCGGTACATGGGCCTCTCACTGTTGTGGCCTCTCCCGTTGCGGAGCACAGGCTCCGGACATGCAGGCTCAGCGGCCATGGCTCACAGGCCTAGCCGCTCCGTGGCATGTGGGATCTTCCCGGACTGGGGCACGAACCCATGTCCTCTGCATCGGCAGGCGGACTCTCAACCACTGCGCCACCAGGGAAGCCCCACAATCTGCATTTTTAATGAGCTGTCCAAGTGATTCTCACAATGGAGATGTAGGTTTTAAGAAACATCAACTTATGCGAATGGGAGTTTGGGGATGGGGAGAGAGAGATGAGTCTGGGTAGTGCTGCCAGAGGGAGAGGGGCAGGATGGGGTGAGGACAGGAGACGGGAAGTAAGAGAGCTCTTAAAAGGAAGTAAAATGCACCAAAGACAAAGCTTCTGTTTTTCAAGATTGCCAAATCCTCTGATGGTTAGAGGTGTTATATAGGAGGTAATTTCTGTTTGTGTACCTTCGGTGTGTGCTAAGGTCGTGGGTGCCCTGAATAAAAGTATCTGGGATATTTTAAAGTATGCAAAGGTCAACCTCCCTTCTCTAGGACAGGCTCTAGGATGGTATCACCCAGTCCACTCTGGAATCCAACAGTAGAAGAGGAAGAGAAAGAAGAAAGTTGTATATTTCTAACTGCTATTTCCTCCCACATCTCTCTCTACCCTGAATTCTTATGATGTTGAAGAGTCTTTTGTTTTGCGGGGAGAATTGAAGTCCTGGGAGGAAGTGAGATCCCCAAGGGAAAGAGAAAAGAAGAGGCCTGGATATTCCAGCATTCAATCAGGCAGTATTTACTGGATGCCTGCTATGTGCCAAGTGTCAAGTTTGGCCTTGAAGATACAGTGGAGAAGAGATTGGCACTGTTTCTGCCTTTATAGAGCTTAGAGTCTACTAGGGGAGACAGACACTATCCAGCTAGTTAGGCAACTAATTCTGTAATTAAACTCATGATGAAGACTTCAAAGGAAATATATGAGGTGATATGAGATTATTTAACAAGTGGTTTTACCTAGTTTGAGGGGACAAACTTTAGGGACAAGAGGAAAGCAAGAGCTAGTGAAAAAGCAAAGGTGTAGCAGCCAAGAGGTAGGTAGAGAAAGAGACTGGTATGTTACAGAAACCAAGGAGAAAGATTTCAAGGGCAGGTTTCTGGTCATCAAAGTCAAGTGCTGCAGAGATGAAAAGGAAGGTAGGAGCTGAGACTGGTCTTCTGCATACAATGATTTAAACTGTTCTAGAAGAAGTTTCAGGATTAAGAGAGCCAAAGCCAGATTACACGTGGTTAAAAAATGAGAGGGTGGTGAAATCTTAAGTACTATAATAGAGCTGTACACTCACTTTTTGGACACTTAACATGAAGTACCTTGTAATGTTCTGGCTGTGTTTGCCTTGTCTCCCCAACTAGATTGACAACTCTCCACAGGTTATAACAACAAACCCAACCCCTAACACTGAATCAGCAGGTGGCATTAGAGTCACCAACTAGAGGTCAGAGACCTCGGATCTGGTACTGGTTCCACCATGTACCTTGCGCATGAGCAACTGTTTCCTCATCTATAAAATGGCTATACCCCTAACTTCCCTATCACATGGGCTGTTGAAAGTGTCTAATAGGACAGTATATACAAATGGATTTTGTGAGCTGAAAATTAGTATTCTATGGAAGATATTGAGAATGTTCAGTAAATGATAACAGCTACTTAGAAAGTTCTGTGATGATCAGTTTTTTGTTTGTTTGTTTAGATTCGTTCCTTACATTGGGATTGTGACGATCCTCATGAATGACTATCCTAAATTTAAGGTAAGATCCTGTACTATATGTTTCATTAATTTTGGAAACCGTTAAATGGATTACAGTTAAAAGATGGAAGACCAGTTGGATAGTTTAGTGATTTATCATAGTCACAAAGACCAGTTTGTTAATTAACTCTGAGGATTTGTGAACTTTTAAAAGCTTCTCTGACTTGTGATTCTGTGTTTGTTTTCTAGTATGCAGTACTGTTTTTGCTGGGTTTATTTGTGCTGGTCCATCGTGAGTAAGAAGTCTGCCTTGCTGTTCCTGGAAGATGCTGTACTTTTTGTTCCTGAATGTTTGGAGTAGATATCAATCTGTGGTTGGTGGAATGGAGAACACATGTTGGCGCTTCTTGGTAGCACTGGTTTGCATTAGTTTATGTTTCCACACCAGAGTACGTGTGGGCGGGTGCATGTGCACCACAGCGTGCACTCGAGGGGACTTTTAATCACAGAATTTCATAAGTTGTCATTGTCATACTTTCGCATTTTTGTACATCAGTGAATTTTTTATATTAAAAGATTGAGCCAAAGCCCCCAGTGTTTGTATTTTGAAGCCAAGCTTCACTTCTAAAGTGCCTACAGAGTTCTGTAAATGAAAATGCAGCTCTGCACGAGTTTGAAACTGTCATTCCTCCTTATAATGGGAATGGCATATACTGAGGTGGTCGTCGTCTTAACTTTTCAAAATTTTAAATAAAAGACTTTGCATATCGAAACCCCTTATCCCTGACTTGTGTTTGTTGGGAAAGCTTTTGATATTTGCTTTCCTGTGCTGGTTCTTAGCGCCCTTGGGGAGATACAGGCTTTGATGTGAACAATTCTTCAGCCAAGAAGGTTGTCCTAATACTGACAACTGGTTTTTGTTTGTTTTGTTTTTGTT